TCGTGTGAATATTTGTTGCTTGACTAAGCTTGGCTAATAGACTACTGTGTTATGACATGTATGCTTTTTAATTATTATAAAACTTCATATTTATGTATATTGCTAGGAAAAAAGGCAGACAAATGTCCTCCTTGGGAAAAGGGCTTGCTTATAAATTCCTGTTTTCTGAAAGAGTCAGCACTTGCACTTTATTCCTACTTGCTGATTAAATGGACCAGGCATTAGACACCATTTATTTTGAATTTCATTAACCTTCCAACAGCTACCTCCTGCAATTTCACAGTTTTTCCTTTCTGCTGATGGTCACTTTTAAAGCACTGAAGCTTTATTTTCTGATACAATATTTGGTTAGCAATTGGGATTTCTTGTGAAGCGCTGCAGGAGGCATGACTTCACTCAGTGTGCTTTCATACACAGTAATGTACTTTCATACACAATAATGTGCTCTTATCTGACACAGCTTTTCTGTGAACTGTGAACACCCCTTAGTGAGCTGGTGATCCAGTGGTCTTTTACATTCAAACTCTTTCGGATTAGGATGTGAAAAATAAAATTACTGAAAGAAAAAAAAAATTCTTGTTCTTCAGATAGGGTCTAAAAATGTACACATCCTTCCTAAGCAATAATTATAACAATGTGAAAGCAGATGCATAAACTGTGCGGATGACCACACTGTAACCTCTGACACATCTTGACGACCTTGTTTTGTTATCTTAAAGGTGCAGTACCATAAAAGAACACAGAGTGATGCAAAAAACCTTGCTCAGTGATTCACATTTCTTTCTTTTCACTTTGAAACTTTGGGAAGAGGTTTTTTTTTTCTGTTTTTAACCATTCATATAGCAATATTATGCTTCTCAAACAGTTAGACGGGAAAAAGTGCAGGAGTTACAGAAGGCAGGTAAATAAACAGAAATTAAGAAATCTAAGCATTTTGTTTCTTTTTTTCTTTGTGCTCCTTTGTATCCCCTGCAACAAGGCTTCAGGTGAAAATACAATGCTCTTTCACTGGGGAAAAAAAGAGAAGGCACTGAAAGAGCAGAGCCTTCTCTTCAAACACCAGGATGGTCTTGTAGCTTGTCTGTTCTTTTCCCAGTAGACTTGAAGCTGCAATTAATCCATAAGTAAAATAACAAGCTGGTATAGTTCAGTGGGTTGTTATGGCTCCTTTTGATCAGCTATTTAAAACACTGTGACACAGTCAGTGTGTAGAAATCAGATTGAAATCTCTTAGATAACCAAGGAATGTGCTTTAGAAGATGTATTTCTCCAGTGGCTTGTTGTCTAGAAAATGTGGACAAAACATATCATTTACCCTTCATCACAAAAAATAAAATCTAAGCCATGAAAAGTAATATAAGAAAAGGTGATCTTGTTATATCTGTGGTGAACCTAATTACCATTTTCATTGAATCATAGAATCGTAGAACCTTTGGTTTGGAAGGGACCTTTTAAGGTCATCTAGTCCAACTCCCGGCAATAAGCAGGGACATCTTCAGCTAGATAATGTTGCTTGGAGCCTTGTCCAGCCTGACCTTCAGTGTTTCCAGGGATGAGGCATCTACCACCTCTCTGGGCAACCTCTTCCAGTGTTTCACCACCCTCATTATGAAAAAATTATTCATTAGCTTTAGTCTAAATCTACCCTTTTTTAGTTTAAAACCATTCCCTGTTGTCCTATGGCAACAGGCCCTGCTAAAAAGTCTGTCCCCATCTTTCTTAGAAGCCCCGTTAAAGTACTGGCAGGCTGCAATAAGGT